TTATATTTGCCAATCCATGGCAGCAAGTATTGCACGGGAACACATCACTTGGTATGTCCTTTTCTAGGGGTTGGGTTCAATTGCGAAATGCTACACTTTGCAACTTCCCCTCTCCCACATACACATATGTATGATCATCTCTAAAAGCATCGTGGTGATTGTTCTTAGCTTGGTCGAGTAGCTTGTTAACAGAACCACCCATCTTCTTTTTCAGTGTGAAAAGTACCTTTGTGCCTCAGTATAAAAGTGACAAATTTATGCATTGACATGCTTATACCATATCTCAGGGCCATGAGTTCTATTTCGAAAATAGTTACCAAATATCATAACTTATTATTTTATTATTTATTATGATAAATTAAGGAAAGTTCTACAGTTTTGAGGTCTGGAATATTTAAATTATAGATAAAGCTGTTAGCGTGCAAAATGTTCCAAATCAAATTTTTTCTTTATAATTAAAACATCAACCATAAAAAAATTTACATTTATTCAGAAAGTTTCAAACTTATGTTTCATTAAATGAGGAAATTTTCTACATTATTTCATCAAAGAAAAAATCACTTAACCTGCCCAACTAATGCTTTATGCACAAGGGTAAAAGATATTTTTTCGTTTAAATATCGAAGTTTTGTGTGAAATGGAAAACGATGTCTTCCAACTTAAAGTAAACTTAGCTTCAGTCACCACACGCCATCATACTGAAGTCTTATTCTACTTGAAAGCTTTTTTATAGCTTACTACTATAATGTGAACGAGAAAAAATGAATAAAAGATATCAAAGCAATCAGTATATAAAATCAAGAAAGAATGGTAATCCATAAAAAAATATTTCTTTGGGTTGAAACATTTGTAAACATGTCAAGAGGTGATTGCAGTGGCTCCAGTAAATCTTGCGTTCAGAAGAATCCGTAAACATAGGGATTTTAAACTTGTCACAGACCGGAGAGAAAAATGCGTTAAGTTCAGCGATTTATTTATTTATTTATTTATTTTTTCAGCGTTTCATGAAATGAGGAAGGGACTGCATTATGAAATTTAGAGAAAAAATACTGCAAGTTTTATTTGAAAAGTATTCTTAAGAGCGCATTTAAATTTTGTAATGTGAGATATATGTTAAACACTTGCATGTAACAACAGAATATATATAGGTACCATAAATTATTCACTGGGTAACAGATCAAAATATCTTTGTTGCAAAAAGTATTTCAGGGTAAAATTCATCCCATTGTTGAGAATAATAGCACTATCCCGAGCGTGGTTTCTTTGTGTAAACAGTTAGCGCAGCCAAAATTCATTTCCCATTTTCTGGCGCCGAACATATTAGCAGTCTCTACGATGGAGCTAGGACTAAAATGTGGTGGGCAATAATTCCTGCAGTTTCATCGCCCGAGTGGATCTCATGCCTTTTGTCACCCTATAAGTAAGAGAGAAATATCACTTCATTCCATGCTCTAGTGGTGCAAATTGTTAGCACGCCCAGACAGCAGAGGAAAGACACTTGGTTCAAATCTCGATAAGGTTTAGTTGTTTTCTCCTATTTGTCGGTTTCTAAAACGCTGTTAATCTCTGCACACATTACATTCAATTTTTACACTGTTCACAACTTATCGTAAACCTCTACGTGATTACAGAGACGTATTTAGTATGTGGAAAATATTATGGTATGTAATGCAACGTGAAGATTTATTTATAAAATCCACCTGGAATCACATACGAGCACATGACGGGAGAGTTCTTCAGCTAGAAAACAGGTTCATTACTCAAAAATGCGATTTTCCAGCTGGATTGAGTGCTGTCGCATTGAGGGATTACTGAGTGAGAATCAGAAAATTATCGACCTGATGAACTTAAAGATAGTGTTGAGAATGCTGTGATAACACTCAAATAAGCTTAATCTACTACTATAGGTTGGGTGAATGCATCAACAGATAAAAATTGTGAATTCTGCCAATAGTATCCACAAAGAGATTTATTGATAATGGAACAATATGCGCTGAAACCTGCTTGCATCAGAGCATCCAATAGTATTACTTTCTTTCCCAAAAATATATTTTCTTTTGGGCTACAAAAATATTTTATCTTTCATCAGATGAGAAATTAATTGAAATCTTATATGCTCTATTCACTTCAATCAATATATAACTTTCCGGTTATTTTCAGATCGAACGTTCGTGTACTATTTCAGTATACTTCTAGGGGCATTCTTATGTGAGATTTAATATTTTTTTGCTTTGGAAAAAATTGCCGTGTGAAATAAAATGCATATATTTCAGGCAATTCTTGTGCAGATGGCCTTGGGCTTATGATCTTTCCCGTTCAATAATTCTTACCCAGGCAACCTAAGATTTCTTCTCGTTAGGGCTTCTTAGGCATATAATCCTCGACACATTTGCAAAAATAAATTATCTAGGTCTAAGCATATACAGTACGGAATACAGCGGTATATAAATACAGTATGAAAAGAACAGTACGGCGATAAGACATATATATATATATCTGTCACAAAATGATACGAAAAACATTATACCATATCTCTGACTATAGGTTCAACTCAACTCTTATATTACAATGCTATTGTGCTAAACACATAACTGTGGCACTTCTTATCTCGCAGTTTAATTCTCTAAGACCTGCAACGTCTTTAAGACCTGCAACGTTATGGAAACGACACCATATTACAATCCAACCCCTCAAAACAGGGTTCCCTTAGAGAAAATGTTTAATTAGTCTTCCTTTTGTAATAAATAATTTTCAGAGAATAAAATATTCAGCTCAAAAATTAGCATTTCAGCTTCAAAGAGGGAAACTCGTAACACAAATTGTTCAATTTCATTAATAATTCAAATTAGTAAACATTCATACTTCATTAATAACCATTCCATACTTCTAAGACAAAAATTCTCAGAGTTATTAACAATAAACAGATTCATAGGGTCAGCTATAAAATCAATAGCGGTCTTTGTGTTACACATTAGTTATAAAAAAGAAGCATTATACTTGGTAATTTTTCTAAATCCAATAAAATTCTGCTTATTAAAGATATTGTAATATATAAAACATATGCTGTTTAATTTTTCATGTGGATGGATATATATTGTATGAGCGACTATACGCCGCAGTATCTTTGCAGGAAATAAAAATGCAGAAATTAATACATAAGGAAGTTACGTACGGATATCCGCCAAGATGCGTGGGGGAATGCTTTCTATACTTTACTTTTATTAAACAACCCAGTTTGATCTAAAATACTTGTAGCAAATTTAAAGCACATCTAAAGCACAGCATGTGCATATGTGGCACTTACGTGGTTACACTTCATAATTTAACATAATACAGTTGCTTTACGTTTACTATAAACATTTTCTTACATGTGAATACCCTTTAAAGTGATTTTTAAAAGTAGATTACGTTACTGAATTCAAAACCATTTCATCAGATATTTTCTCATGAATTTTGTTTACTGTAATTGTGCATATTTTAGACACTATTTGATAGCATTGTTATCTGTTTAACTGCCGAAACAGTGTGTGTAAGACATTTGTGACAAGACAGCAAGCTTATGATAAGACAGCAACTTTACCTATGGCTACAATGCAAATTAAAAAATGCATCTTCGCATAAGATTGCATAGTGAATCTTGCGTATGATTTACGCTTATTCGACGTAGTTTAAATTTCATTTTTGAGTAAAAGTTTTAGAAGCTGCCTTCTCTGCGCAGATTATTAACATTTTCATGCGTTAATTGGGCAAGTTAAAAAGATTACGATAAAGATAATTAACTTTTCAGGTCATAAACTGCCATTTTAAGCTTTTGGCTTAGCAAGAAAAGAGTAGCTACAGCAGTAGTGATTTGATATCTTTCTTTCACTGATGTTTTCTAGGTATGCTAAAGTACCGTATTACATGTTTTAGCTATCTATAGAATTCGACTTCTAAAAACATGCACTGTATATTTCTATTCCTCTCGTTTTTACTCCAAAAGACTTTGGCAGGAAAGAAACTGATCGATTTCATGGAGGAAGTATCTTATTTCTAAGAACATTTCGCGGAATGTTAGAGTGTTGGGATTTTTGGAGTGGGATTTAGCAGGCGGTCGTAAGTGCAAGTGGCTTGTTTCGAACCAGGATGTGACCGGAATGGGACATTGCCCGGATGGCTTTGTTCCGTCAATCTCCTTCTCCTTTCTTTCGATAGCAAAGAAAAAAGGGGAGAGCGCAGGATTCATTACCAGTTTCAATGGCACTCTGCAATCCGCTTATTTGGTAAAGAGCGAATTTTTGGTGTAGGGTTCAATCCTTATGTTTTGTAGAGCTGTCGTATTTTGCATATAGCCTCAATTCTGTTTAGCATTCCAAATGATCCTAAAGAATATATATAGTACAGAACATGCCGGTTGTAACTGCAATTCTATTTAAATATTTTGGAATATTTTGATGAAGGTTTGAAGCATACTTTTTACACTAATAAGAAGAAAACTTTTATCGTTTCTGTAAATTTTATACAGTAAATGTTGCATGGCAAATCATACGCTCACGAATCATACGTTTCAAGGCTAGTTCTCGTGGGCTTGACTGTATAGAGTTAAAAAAAGCTGTGGCCCAAATGGAAATGAAAACGATTTTTTTGAAAGAAATTTCACTGTTTATATTAACTCAGTGTTTTCAGGATGTGAAATTTTAAATTAAATTTACTTCATTGCAAGTGAAAACACAGGGATTTCCTCGCATAAGTGTCATTATCCAAGCGACCAGGATGGCTGCATCGGGTTTCTACAGAACGGGTTTCCTACAGAACGGGTTTCCTACTAAATAACGTCAATGCTACCCATAGTGTAATGTGAATACCAATCAGGTTTTAAAAGTTATTTTTCTTAATCAATAAATTACTATCCCATCTGCAATTCCAAGTTCTCATGCTGTTGAAAAATGCAGAAAATGTTCGTTTCAAGTCCTAAATTTGTCTTGCATTTAAGAAAAATAAAATTCAGCGTCAAAATGTCATTTACATATTTAAGATATGAAAATTTATTTGAGGTAAATACACAGTGCTTTATTCATATTCATCAGAAATACAGCTAAACAATAAATTATAATAATATGTACATTCGCATTGTAGAGCATTTAGACTAGTTCCTTCTTTTTACTGCGCACTTTTCACATCGAACTCTCACCGAGAGGATTATCAAAGGGACTGTCTCCGTATTTTTTTTTCTGAAATAAAGATACTCCGAATTTTCTGCTCACTGCAAGATTTAATGTAACACCTCCTAAAATAAAACCTAGGACTAGCATTCCTATAGTCAGAGCTATGACACTACCTGTAAGAAGAAAAGAAGAGTTTAAACATATTTTACCGTTACTGATGAAGTAGTTGTGTATAATGATTAGAAATGCCATACGAAAATGTATGGCATTTATAAGACTAATATAAAGCTGTACATATAGAACAAATATACTGCAACACATTTCTGAAGCTTTATGCGTTTGGTTGTGTGTTATGCACGTATGTGATCTGTACTTAAATATAATATTTCGCTATCGGAACTGTCATTCACGACGAAACTTGTACAGTCATACTCTGATACGAATTTAGAACAGCTTAGCGTATTTTGAGATAATTTGATGATTTCAATGAGTATAAAAGAGTTTTAAACATCATCATCTTTAAGAAAACATCAAGGGTAAAAGTGCAAAATTACTAAATTTTATATTGTAGGGTTTTCCTTAGTTTGCATACTAAGTTATTTTAAATATGGCATCTTTCCTGAACCTCTCATTTTCCCCTCGCATTTCCTCACCACGATGGAAATTTAAAATTAAGTGAAGTAAGTATTTAACCCTCTCGCTGCGCATCCCGCGATTTCCACGGGCAACGTAGAAGTAGAAAAATTTACGCCACCCGCGATTTCCGCGGGGAAGAATTTTTGCCATTATTTAATTGTGCAACCCGCTCTTTCCCCGTTCAAGATTTCCTTTCGACTTTTCCCAAGATATTTAATTGTTTATTTAGATGTGGGCTAAATGATGGCGTTAGTTGTCCACATTTCTGCCAAATATACAAGAATACGTGATGTAAATTTTGCGCGCTCATTTCAGAGCTCAAAGATGTCTGGCAGAAAATGTTTCGCGAATGATATAACCTATATTCCTGACGATATTTCTGACACAGATGTTCAGATTTCCATTATATTGAAGATAGTTATAGCGAAACTGATCAGAATTTCTGGGATTCCTCTGCAAATAGTGATGAATCTGAAAATTCAGTTTCTATTGAAAACGTTCGACAGTGGTGCAAAACTTATATGCAAAATATTACATTATGCAAATATTTTCATTAATATATATGTTTTACCTCTGTATTTTATAAAATAAATCATAATTTAACCAATATTAATCTTCAAAATTTTCCTTTTATATCATCAGTCTTCAATTTCAGTATTCTGACAACCTTTTTCTAATGACCTTCTTAATTTCTTTTGACCTTTTAACTCTAAAATATATGTAGATTTGAAATATGTAATTAAAAATACGCAATTTGTGAACCTATTTTGATAAAAAAAAATGTGCGCAGTGAGAGGGTTGAACGGATGAATCTGGTAGTTTATTCAGAGCGTGATTTCGAGCCAGTGCACGTTACTAGATTGTCCTTACTGTTACGCTGAGTTTCTGATCCACCCTTTCGGCCATTTAATAAGTGCATTGCCGGGTAGGTTGTTGAGTCAGCCTAGTTAGCCTTAAATTAAATTGTTAGTCGAGCATTATTGTTTATCTTTGAAATTACTCTGTAACTATTCTTAAGTTCCACCGCATGTCGTCGGTGTTATTGTAAACACGAAGTGCGTGCATTTATGTTAAAAGTTTGACGAATAACAAAGGGTTATTTTTCCCTTCTTCTGTGCTGGTATTCTTTTACACCTGTGCCAGAAGTCGCCATATTGTTTCGTAAAATCATTTTAACGTTGTGATAGCAAAGAGAGTTAGATCTTACAGCATGCTGAAATGTTATTATTTTTTTACAATCCGCCAATATAGTATGTATGTTGATATTTTTCCTCCTTCTCGCCAAGGGAAAAGAAAAAATATAGCATTTTTAGCTAGTAAGAAGAAAAATTCAAATCTTCTTCTAGATTATGTATCACTGAGTTTCACGTATTTTGTTTGGATAGGGATTCAAAATTCTAGATTATGTATCTCTGAGTTTGACGTATTTTGTTTGTATAGGGATTCAAAATTCCTATTTTGAAAAACAGTTTTTCCTTACTGTTCTGGAAAACATCGGGTAAAAGTTATTAACATTTTTTTAAATATTTTAAAATATTTTAATAACTTCTTAGTTTTCATATAATCAGCAGTTTTCATCACAGTGTCTTTTACCGTGCAAAATAAAAGGAGATTACCCACTTACGAGAGTACAACTTTTAGAAAAAGGTCTCTGAGAAATAACAGGAAGAAGATAAAAATATATCCACAAAATTTGAAAGTGATAGTTTTCATACAAAACGGGAAATCACTACAGATCAACCTCATGTGTAGAAAATACATACATATTTGTGATTACATATGAAATGCAACACTCTGCGATTTAAGATTAAGCACTTGTCTTGTTAGTAGATAATTAAAATATTATTGGCTTTTAACTTGCTTGCATCACTGCTTGAAACTCTTATTACACAATTCTAATGAGGCCGGCCCACCAGCTGCTGAGCGGTGAAGTTGCTGAATACTGGTTTGAATATACTGAATACTGGTTATAGGGTTTGAATCCCTGCGAGCCGGCTTAGCTTCATGGGCATTTTCCTAGCTTTTTCTAAGCGTAACGTGTATACAAGCCAATTTGCCTTAGAAAGCCCTCCACGAAGTCATCCCTCAATTTAGCCAAATAGCCCTCGTGTGCTTAATCATAATCAAATAAACCGAAACAAACCTAATTAGGATGTTTAAACCATTTAATATAGGATGACAAATGTTGATATCCAAGCGAATGTGAAAAATTAAGTACATTAATTTTAAAAAAATTAAGTCTATTAAAAGGCCTTATGCATAGTGCTCATGTTTGCAACTATTGGCCGTAGACATATTCTTTTAATTACAAAAATGTTTTAATCAATGAAATTAAATTAAAAAGATTAGTTTTGTAAAAACTGAGTATTCTAAATTTTATATGGCTGCACGGTTTTTATATTTATATAAATAAGATGATAATTATACTTATTATCAATAGGGAAATACAAAATTCTTTGTCTCCTAAATGGCAAAAATTGACTGAAATATTTAACTTTAGAATCATATTAAGGCTCATATACAAAATTGAAGGGTTTCTCCAAACGCTTCAGTAAAAATTGTAGGGTACAAACGTTTGCATTCGCCTGCAGCAAAATATAGCCCGGCCAGTAGTTTAGTGGTTACGTCCGCTGGTAGCAAATCGAAGTAGTTCGACCTGGTTTTGATCCTAGGCGAATGGGCTAGTTACGTGGTTGATTTCCGTCGTTTTTCCAATGTGTGGCTGGAATACTAGCTCGTTTCTCATAGAATGTCCTCCAGGAAGGCATCCCTCCTCTTAAGCAGATACGTCTTACGTGCTTTGACATATTCAAATAAGCTAACTATAGTCTAACTAAAAATGAAATATTAATTTAGAAAACGTCCCTGGTATTAATAGATTAAGTGAAGAGCACTGCGATGCAGACTGAAAATTGATAGAATAACCTTTTCAAGAAGAAAATCTCATTCACAGAATCGTATAGAGTTAGGGCTTTAGAAAATAGGGCAGTATTCAGCATTGGCATATAGTTAACTCGTAATAACATTTGTACAAATTAATAATGCATATTAGGTCTAGATTAATGAAATTTTTGTATTATTGTATTATTATTCTAAAATCATAAAACTGTATGAGAATATTAATAATGAGTTTTTATTATTTGAAAACTTAAAACATACTTGCGTGAAAACTCTTTCGGATACCGTATAGAACAGTATTATAAATTACGGAAAGCGTACACAGGGGTAAGTAACGGAGGAATATTACTAAAAGATTTTATGAAAATCAACCTCGAATTTTTCTAATGTATTTTTTAACCAACTTCTCAAAGTAAGCCGCCCAGAATCCCAGAGGAGGCATGGTTGTAACTGTCCGTCCCTTCATGAGAGGCAATAGTGGCCACCTATTAGGTATATCCACAATAAGATGGCGACCACTCTTGGCCTTAGGAGTGGCCAGTGCTGAAGAGGCAAATGCCCGGCATTCGATTTCAAAAAAACTTCTCAAGGTAAGGGCGAAAAGATGGGAAAATGCATAATTTTGAAATTAAGTATATCTTGGCCATCTTTTGTTGTACGGAAGCCTTTTGAGCAATTTAAATTCAGAAAGGCCAAGACATGTATATATGCATTATTTAAACATTTTGCAGATAGAAGTACATGTCTACGACCAGGCTTATAAGGCAACTTATCTGTTTCTTGTATTGTTCGCTACTCGGTTTTTTTTAGTACATTTCGAAACATCTTTTGAAACTTTCAACATTATGTGTCTTAGTTTATTTGGTTAAAATGAATCTGTAACACAGTAATAAAGAAGCACAGCAATATAATATGAAAATTAGGCAAAAGCATTTTGAGATTTAAGCAGATTTTAAATAAAATTCTATCAGTTCTGAGGGAGAACTGACCTAGGTACGTAAGTTGACAATTTGTGTAGGAGGCGGAGCAAAAAAACAAATATGAAGGAAAATTAACGGGTTAAGCCTTAGTTTCTGTCTTACCTTCTTTGTAGTGTGGAGTAGCTTGATCTTTATTGCGATCGCCAGCAAATTCATTCAAGCCATTAGGCTCTGGCATAAGATTAACCACCTGAAACGTAGGATAAATTGCGTTAGTAAGCTTATTGAACCTCGAATTATCATAACACTGGTTTTAAACTTAGAATGCTCAAAACATCAAGATATACAAGATGTGGTAACTTTACAGGTTACAAGCATCGAGAATAAATTATTATAATTCTGAGGAGATTTGAAGATCTGACTGTACAAATAAAAGTGTTTCAAGCAGTAATCTGGCTGAAATAAATTAAACGTTCCCCCTCCTAATTTAAAACATAAATAAAACTGCAGCTTAATATCAGTATCCAAGAGTAATAGTTAATTTAAGTTGCTTTCTAAAACTTTCATTCTCGATCCGTGAAAATAGAAAGTATTTTTTAGCTTTAATTAAAAGATAAAAAACTTTTGCTTGGCGTAAATACTATTGTAAATACAGAAAGTCTTATAAATTAATAATCTTTAGAATAAGTACAGATCCAGACTATTTTTTCAGATGTGAACGATCTAAATGATTTGCTATTTTTTCGAGCAGTTTCTTTCCATAAACAAAACTTTAAATTATCTGCAAAGAACTGATTGCTGTTGCTGACAAGAAAATTTTAAATTTCATGTAAATTTTAAAATTTATTGGTTATTGAATTGATAAAGAGCTTTGCTATTACTTTATTAAAAAAAACCTTCTCTTCAGTACTATACAAATTGAAGAAAATAAACAGATATTTTCTATTAATTGCAGATTTTCGAATCTAATCGCTGGTTAATTGAAAGAACGGAAAGAAATTTGTGATGAATTCTACATTAATTCTTTGATCACTAAAATATTTCTAAATATAATGACTGTTTCAGAAATATACATAAACTATATCGCTGAAGTAGTTGCTTCGCATCAAAGCAATTGTCACTTTTAGGATCAATTTCTCATTTTTAGAAATTAAGTAATATAATTTATTGATAAAGTAAAAATGAATTTAATCAGTAAAAGAAACAATTTAGACTATTCACTTTTGTGCAATCTTCTCTTTTGCAGCAGTTTAAAACTCCTATCTGTAGCGAAACAAGCATCAGTAAATCGAAATGTCTCTAAAAATGTACCCGATTGCTGTAGCAACGCTCCCTTAGAACATGCTTAATCTACGCAACATATCTTAAAAAACATTTACACCTGCAACGTGTTTCTGGGAAACGTCGCCGTTAAGCATATTCACCATTTGTCGTATTTTAGTTTTAGAGAATTTTTGGCAATTTAAATCTTCTTTCCCAGACAGTAGCGCATTCAACTGACTCGTCACGTCTAACTTCTTACACTTACTGAGTAAGAAAAGGAATTTGAGGCCATCGAAACCATCAAGTGTGACAAGAGAGCTATATCAGAAGGGAAGTTGTGGAATATGTTTCAACAAGTACTACGTGTGTGGGGCACTCAAAGAAACAGGAAATTCTTTACGAAAGGCTGCCTCTGTTTCTACTATTAATTAGCTAAGTAAACTCGAGTGTAAATAGAATTAAATAAAGTGTTAAGCCGTAAAATTAAAAAGATCTATTCTTATACTATACTGCACTAAAATTGTGTATAATATTTAATCTGCTTGTTTTATGGATGAAATTCCTGTACTATGGGATTCAAATGTTTCGAATGCTTACTATTTGAAGTTGTTGATTATTGTGCTCTATCTAAACTTCCGGTATAATTTCAAGAATAACTTGAGAGAATTTTCAAAACATATTTAAAATTTTACGTTAGGGTAGTGAAAATAATTTTCAGTTATTAAACACAATTCTTCCCGGAATGAGGTATTACTTAAGTTTTGAAATACTATTAAAGTATTGCTAAATAGTAGTTTTGGCTATTACAAGTTTATTTAATGCAGCCTAGTATAATACCGCATTTCCTCGCGTATTCTTCCCCTCTCTTTTATTAATTTTATCGTGCGAAAATTGAAAGCGGAAAATTATGCGAATAAGGACGCAGTTACATAAAGATATAAAATATGAAATGCAGTCGTGTATATAATACAGGTAGCTATTAAAATATTATTTCTTTAAAGGAAGCCTAGATTCTTGTATAAAGACATAGCAATATAAATAATATATATAAGGGTATAAGGGCTATAAGGTATCATCATTTCTACTACCCTTTAATTTGAATCTTGCCCGTTCTTATTGTTGTAGCTGCTACTCCTTAGGCCTCAAATCATCCATAAATAATCAGAGAAGTTTAATGTATAGCTTACTCATAGAAATAGTAGACTGAATGTTAGTTCGCGTTTGCTCCTGTGTTAGGGTGCCATGAAGTTCAACATTTAGACGGGAAAGGTTCGAAGTGACCTTCTGTAGGTAGCTTGCGAAGGTTTGTTTTGTTAACAAGACGAAAATAATCACTATATGGACGAATCCATATTTAAATTTAGGGAAGCCTGTTCTTTAAAAGTATTGAGAAAGAGGAAAACTACGCGGATATCTTTAAAATTTTCAGAAACTGGCGCTAAAGTGCTTGGGTGAAACATAAGCAAGCAACTACGCTATTGATAACATTGAAACTATTTCGTCATTAATTAATTAAAACTAGTTGCTTACGAGTTTACGGTCCATTACTTGAGATATGAACTTCGAGTGTATTATCAAAGGTCTAATGTGAGAGAAATCTTTCATTATTTTATCTTTCACATTTAGAGTACATAAACGTGAAACAAGTTTTAAGTTTTAATTTAATTTCATGTATATCCTCTTTAGTGAGCAATAATTAATCGTTTCAAGATCGAAAGAAGATGGATGTAGTATGTTAATTCAAAGCAAGCAATAAAGTTGAGATAAAAAAAATTGAATTATTTTCAATGTTCGGAAATTTCTCTTTCTTTTTCCCCTTAAATATTATCATAAACTTTCAGCCTTAAATTTTCTTATAGTCATTTCTCTCATAACTACTGAAATATTTTAAGCACTGGAAAGTAGATGATTACTTGTTGCATAATCGGATAAAGTAATTGTTTGTAAATTTGGATTATCAAAACATAGTTTCTGAAAGTATAGTCCTAGGACAACTTTTGTTTTTGCTTTATGTAGTGATTATTATTAACATTTATTTTATTTGCTTCGACAATGAGCTTCGGCTTTCGAAAAGTAGTAAATGATCCATCTTGGTAATGATATTACAGCGAATGATTATGAAAACTGTTGGTAATGACTTTTATCAAATATTTTGCTGTAATTACAAATAGATGCCTTGGTTTAAGCTTCATAATTTCTGACTATTGAGCTACAAGGATTGCACAAAAAAACGGAAATCCTGAACTTAAAAATGTGGATTTTTATATCTGGTTGCTACAAAACAAAAGGCAAAGTTATATGTTAAATATCTTACTTACATAATCAAGATTACATCTGAATGCATTTATAGTATTTACAAGACTGTATCTGAATGCATTATAAAGCATTTTCAAGATTGTCTGAATGGATTACAGCGCTTACAATATTGTGTCTAAATGCATTATAGCATTTACAAGACTGTCTGAATGCATTATAGCATTTACAAGATTGTCTAAATTCATTATACCATTTACAAGATTATGTCGTAATGCACTGTTACTTGAGGGTTTGAAAAATTACGCTGGTGTTGACGCGCCGGTGATAGCGTTATTTGTAATATTGGAAAGAAATCAAGTGCCTAAAATATTTAGCGGATCTTAAATATGGAAGGAAAATTTATCTAACAGAGTACATTACAGATTGCTACTTCGAAGAAGACCGCTAACAGACATATGGCTGCTAATCACAGTATGCTTTACAAAATCTAATTCCGGCTTAAGCAATACGAAGAGCTATGGTTATGGCATACTCAAATGTTTATGTTAGAAAATAGGCAAATGCTTATGGCAGAGTTGCTTCACGAATGCAAGCTAAGAATATTGTTGTGCTAAGAACATAAAACGTGAAATACTTATCAACAGCTATTGTGTTCCAATGAATCTATCCACACTATGTTTCCTATTTCAAGAGCATTCTGTAGAGAACATCGGAAACGCTAATAATCCAAGTTCTCGTTCTCCCTTCTGATAGAGATCTGCCATTATTTTAGATATTTGTATTGTAGTTTTCAACAAGTTCTTTTACTACTTTGAATGGAAGGGTGCTTCACTGTGAATATTTAAATACTTTGGGTGATTATTTCCACTTAATTGAGTTGTATAACTTCTTGCACCTAAACGTACATGTATAGAGAATTTGTCTCAGAGTTGAAAGACTGTCTTTAATTGTTTTCGAATACTTGAATTGAAAAATCGCACTACTGGAAATGTTGATTAATGCAACATTTGTTGCGAGATATCTCATTTGCAGGTAGGTTTCAGTATCAATGGTATCACATTAAATACTTATTTCCAAGAACTGCTTTCTATTGATCTTTACATCCATATCGTCCTCAAATTCTACTCACCAATTTAGCATCATCCGAATATGATGTCCATGAATAAAACAAAATTGTCCATTAATTTTTTTCATTGTTGAGTAGGCGTATTGTTATTAACCGTTTGCATCTTGCAAGAGTAAATTTGCAGCGTAGTTATATAAAGGAATGTTGAATATCAAATATTTTTCATTCCTTTTTAAGTGTTACACAGGACATAGGTAAAACTTTTTACCTCCACTTACTTAAATTGATGAATTTGTAAAATTACATGTAAAGTGTTAAGAAGCGTGTGCTAGGATACAGGGTACTATTTATTTTTCAATGAAAAGTTTATTAGTTTCCACTTACTTTTTCCTTTGTAGGAATTCTCACTTTGAAACTTTTATCAGAAATAGATTCCCTGAGTTTAGCAAATGCTATATCCAAACTAACTTCATCTTTTTTTGACGTCTTTTCCATTGCTGGAGGGTTTGCGATAATTGTAAATTCGGCGAACATATATTGACCACTAAATGCAACCTGCAGACAAAAAACGTTTAATGAAGAACTTGCATATATTATTTCACTTCAGAACACTGAGTTGATTATGAAATAAATATCCAAATTTCCCTCTTACACAATTGAATATGTCTAAGTACTTATACTTCATGTAGGTTCATTACTTAAATGATGTTTGTAATTGTGTTAATTGACAGTACAATTATCATTAAAGATATTTTATTGTTTGTACAAATAGCATTTAAGATATTTTATGTTTGTACAAATAACATTTAAGATATTTGTACTGTGATTTACATAATGGAAACTATGAAATGTGGTCTATTATACAAACTGATATTTAGGAATAAGAAAATGAAGAAAAACCTTTGGTATTTTTGCTTTAGAATTTAATAATAAAGTATAAAATATATATGAAATGCACATTTTTGCAACATGAACAAAATATTGTATTAGCATGTATGGTTGTATTAGCATGTATGGTTTCAACAAAAATGATATTGGTTGGCTACGCCTTCGTGTTTCACCCTAATGTTCTGTAATGTGAATGTCAGCCAGTTTTCGTTAGAAAATTTTCCATGGACATAATTTTTGTCAGGCAAATAGCCATAACATGCTTTGCCTTAATCGATTAAAGAAACAAACGCTACCAAAACATCCATATAATTGTAAAACACCTGCATGCAGAATTTGTTAAAATTTACCTTTGATACGAATATTCTTTGGGTGCTGATGCCTGTTGCGTCTTTTATAGCTTGATGGACATGATTTCGTATCCGTTTTTCTGAGCCTCTAAGTAAGTCAATAGCTGTAAATATGAATATTTTATTAAATTTAAACATAGTCGCTGATGAAGAAAATAAGGACTTATGATATTTATATCACTAGTAATAAACTAATAAATCTGACGTATTATTCTAACTTAAGGCAGAAACAATAAACTCAAATTATGAACATTCAGCAGAAATCACAAACGTATTTGAATTATTTAAACTAATGCTTTTTGGATTAATTAAATACTAATCATAATTAAATAGTATTAATTTACAATTGAATCAAAATATTTTGTTTGCATAACGGGGAGAATTGGTTTCTCTGATCTTTCTACGAAATGTTTTTCCCACTAAGTTTTCAATATTTTCTTACAGTTATTCTGTTATTTCAATTTTTTAGACATCACCTTGGATTATTAGGGTAGACCTGAGCATCGTATATCTATAGTATGTTTTAGAACCAAATCGTAGTAGTTGTTCTAAAATCTTACCTGGAAAAGTCAGTACTAGATTTTTTCTCGAGGAGTCATTGTAGCACCCTGTTAAATCGAATTTTAGAGTATTAGGTTCTTCCTTTGCAAAATTGTAGAAATTCATTGCGACTACACCTTCTTTTCCCTCAGTCTACAAAAAAAGAAATTAATATTTTAGATTGTACAAACTAAATCTCTGTCAGAGATAATCGATGTATAAATAATTAAGAAATTACAAATTGCATGCGAATGTTTGATACTAGTTTGAAGGGCCACAACCTATACGTTTTGATTATTGATTGACTTATTAGCGTTCTGATCTTAGTGAAGCTTTGAAACACATCTTCTTTATACTGGCTTAATATTTGCATCGTATTTCTTCATATATATGGAGGGATGTTGAGATACTATTTGATTGATCTTAAAGCAAAGAATCCATTGGAGCAAAGAATTCAAGAAAATTAACTTGATTTGAAAAGAAAATACGTAAATATTTTTATTAACACAAAAAAATTTCTTTTTAAAATTTCATTAGCATTCTGTTGGTTTCATAAATTACTATACAATGTCTATATGTATTTCTAAATATCTTATAGCATAGAAGTTTTCAGTTATCTTCTATGAAATGTTTTAAAATATGTTTCCGTGTGTACTTATGTAATTATAACTTTTATCTATCCAAATAATATTACGTACTGTTTGTGGTGATCGTTTATTGGAAAAAGTGTTGATACTAATAACTATGTTTTATAGCTATTTATTTTTGGCATTCTTATGATTCATTGTTAAAAGATGTTTTAGACATTTTAATTGCCCCATTTCGTAATTTATCAAACTAATAAAATGCAGTTTTTGATAAATTGCGACTTTGCGGAAGTGGAGGAAGGTCATGAAAAACATATTCTCATTAGAAGAATTCGTTATTTAAATAAGTTAGAAAAGACCTGATATAACTCATATGGCACTGGCATAAGGAAAATAGAGTTTTTGGCATTTTGTAATAATTACTTATAATTATTACTATAGGTATAGTAGTAGCATAAACTATACGATTAATTTGGGAGATTTCCGTATTCTTTTTATGACTTTTGTATTAATGTATTTGTTCGAATAGCGATGTTTAGATGGCGAATATGTTTTCTTGCAAGCAAAGTGCAGGACGTGGTTCCTCCCTCATTCTAGAAAGCAATTCCAATGCAGACATAAAATAAAATATTAAACGAGAATTCCAAGCTGAATATTTTATTAGAATCAGGCTAGAAAATTTTATTGCTATGAAAACAGTATGTGTATGGTGTGGATACGAGAGGGTGGCTGCTTATGTGATCAAGTAAATCTGTGCACGGGAATTTACTATAGCTCACAGGTGACAATTTTATCCATGTATATATATTATCTCAACAGTTTTATGTGAGAAAAATGTTGCATGAACACTCATTTTCTGTTTAAAAAATGTTACCCAATTATACATTTAAATTTTACAGCATGAAGCTCTGTGAAGATAAAATCTTCACCATAGTCTTCCTCAAAAACCTCACCATAATTTCAAATAATGGTAACTAATTATATTCTTATTATACAGCGAAAGGAAAACTAATGTAGTCTCATAAATAATAACAGACCTTAAATTTATGTCCCCACTCTAACAACTGAAAGTAAGAGATCTGATTTTTGAATTTTGTTTTAAAACGCTCTCTGAATTTCAGAAAGATTCCAAACATAATAGAAATTATATGCCTTTCAATGCTACCTTTACACGTTAAATAGAAAGTATACTTATTTTAATATTCTGCAATCAGCAACTAACTTAACAAAATAGGTGATATCAAGCTTCAGATAATCAGCTATCAAAATAAGAGATAATCATTTTTTGCTAATTGTCATGGTATGGCGAAAAGAAGCGATTAATTGTGTCAAAGGCTCTTTTCCAGAGAATTAGGCAACAGAAATGCTTGCAAGAGCTTCATGGTAGAGAGGATGCTCAAGAAAAAGCTGATTTCCTTTTCTTTTGAAATCCTGGCACATACATTTCCCCTTTACCCGAATTTTCTTTAACAATACGAGCGTGCCAAAATGCAGTGTTTTAGTGTCATAATACGCGGTGTCAAGTTTACAAGTAGAGCTCTAAATGCGTAAAGCTCTAAATGAGAATTATTCGTTTTCTCTGTTAGCATGGTTGTACGGTAGCCGGCTGCAACAGTTTGAACTCGGGTTCGAATTCCAAAGAAAGTATGAATTTGATAAGTGTAGAGAGTCCTTTATATACTTGGGGAAGGGTGACTTAAAATGCAGCTGAGCCAAATGTCCACTTAAGAGACTATGGTAGTTGCAAACCCTTGCATTCGTCTCCGGAGGGGGAAGTCCATCAAAACTGGACCGAACCAATTCTAACATGAACAATCAACAACTGACATGCCAAAAATAGTGTTAATCGGGCAAATCTTGTTAACCTATCGGCTCAAAATGAGGCAAGGCGCCTTAAAGCTCGGTCTTAATTCCTAGATGTCTTAAAAATTATTTAACATATTTTAAATTGTTTTAAATGATATTTTATATATATAAACAAACTAAATGACACACTTTCAAAATTTTAATTACATATAAACTAAATTTTTACAAAGTTCATTGTTATCGCAAAACAGAAGTTGTCACGAGAAAAGAAGTCATTTTCATCCTTTTCATTACTAAATGGCAATATAAACTAAATTTTTACATAACGGACATTACATAAACTAGATTTTTACATATTACATGGTTAGCACAAAATAGAAGTTCATCTGAAAAACATTCTTTCTACCATCTTCTTCACTACGGTTATTGTATTATTGGCACTTCCTTTTCATAGATTTGGAAGTACAGATAAATATATAATTTCTTTCCGAATTTTCCGAATACTTTCTTGCTGTTAGTTATAATGAGATCAGAGCTCGATAAATCTAAGTATAAAAAATCTTCATTTCATTATTTCGGACCACTTTTTCTTCAATTATATTTATTCAAGGTAACTTTGAAAATTTTTATTTCGCGATTCCTGAGTCTGCTGTGTTAAGGGGTGTTGGAACCCCAAAATCTTCAAAAAATTATTATTTCGGATTTTTGCATTTTCAAATTTTCTACACTTTTACGTTTCTAAAAATACCATTCTTTAATCTCTATGAAAATTAGAACTGTAAAAAAATCTAGTTTTAATTTGTCATTTACTGCTTTGGTCAATGAGGATTTTTACCTAAAAACGCGTCTCTCTCCAAACGTGATTTTTTTATACTCTATGTACCTTTTCTCAGGAACTACTGCTCACAGGTATCTGAACAACTTTTTATGGCTTATTTATTAGGTTCCCTAATATTTACTGAAATGAGCTTTTCGTAATAAACCTAGAAAATTATTTTTTTTAAATTTTTTTGTGTGAGAAAAGTGCTAAATTTTACTATGCCTAACAAAGTATTCTGTAATTTACTCTAAAATTCAAAATGCTTCTAAAGCTCATTTTAGTATAATCAGATTGGTATACTTTAATTACAGAAAAAATTTCAAGCTTGTATCTACAGCAGATTTTGAGATAAGGTACATCGAAAATGGCCAATTTAACATTGTCGGTATAGGGGTTTCTGATACCCCTTAATTGGCAATAAAGCGGAGAATATTATTTAAGATCCTCGCATATGACAATGTACGTACCGCAGGTGGCATATAGTACGCTATTGTCGGATACATTCGATATGTATCTAATAAATATTAATAGCACTGAAAGAAAGAGAAGTATCTAGAAAATGAATGATGCTTATACAAAAATCTGAATTTCAGTCTCCTTGCGTACAACCACATGAATTGAATTCGTGTATAAAATGGGATAATTTACGATCTTCGTTCTTTATACGCTCCTCAGAATATCCAGTTAGTTTTGTGACACGTTTTGTAAAACAATGAACTGTTTTTAATCATATTTTGAATAGAACTTTTTAAAGTATTAAAACGTTCTTTTCTTTAGATACATGTCTTTAGAAATGATTCCTAAAATAAGTAGATATCAAAAATATGTATCTATTTCAAGAAATCACACTATGTTTTTTTAAAAGTTATTTTAACTGAAATCGCAAAATTTTAAAACTTAAAATTTTTTAGTAATAAATACTGATTATCACCATAATGTAATAAGAAAGGCTCAATTCAGCACAAAATTAAACTGAAAGCTTCGTTTTTTTCTTTATTCTAGTCTTTTTATGAAGAACGTTTCGCAACTAGAAATTTCAATTTAAACGTTCTATTACTGTTTAGGAAATATTAGATATGTGCTAAAACCGGAATATATGTGTTTAAACAATCCACGATAAGTTGTTAAATTAATCGAAATGAAATAATTATAAACAAAATCAAATATCATCCTAGGAAAACTTCGACCAGAATACCCGCGCAATAGTCGAACATATAGCAGTTTCTATTGGGTCATTCCGTAAGTTCTACTGTTGCTCAAATGGAAGAGCATTTTCTTCTAATTATTTTGCTTTTGCTAATTCGGACTAACATTGATTGAAGCGGAAGTTTAAATGCGGTGTTTTATGCTCACGTTGCATAATTCTAGGCATAATTTTTGCTTCAGCGCAATGCTAATAATGAAGAACTCAATAGTTTATTTTCGTCATATTGTGCTTTTACAATTTTAAAGACTGTACGCAATACAAGCTTTTGTTTATAAATACAGAAGTTCTCTGTTAGTGAAACTTATTAAACATACTGCACGAAAATTCTTTTCGATTAATTTAGATTAAAATTTAATTAAGAAATTAGAGAAAAATTAAAAGTTATTGCATAAATATCTAACCTTTGTTGATCGATTAATTAAAGTATCTCAGATGAGACGAAGCTACTTCTCTAACTTTATTAACTTTGATCGCCTAATTACCTAATGCATTGTATCGAACTACAACCGTTTATTAAACAGTGATGGGATTTTAGATTGCATGAATCGATTATTATTTATACTCTTCACTAATACATTAGGCAAACAAGCGGCAATGTATTCAGATTCTTCTCTTAATTTATACGCTCATGTGAGTTCTGAAGGGTTATCTCTTTTTCCAATATTTGTACTAACATAAGTCAAACATGAATATGTAAATGTTACGTTAACTTAATAGCCATTTCTAATTGCTC